TAAACTAAGTTCTCATTCAGTCACAAGTTTACAAAAACTCACGAGTTACAAAAACAGTCGGTTATGTCTGTGAAGGTAAACAGCTGGGAAATAAATTGCATGTTTATTTTAGATCTATGTGGCAGCAGCAATATACAGTAAATAAATCAATAAACGCACTGCTCTCTTGTCCCCTCTGAGGCTGGGACTCTAAATAGTGTTCTGTACTCGTCTGAACAGTTAGCATGTTTTGCTCGAATTTTCACCATGGCATTAGAGCTGGTACCTGGTGTAGAATGGAAAGTAAGAACAATATAGAAGGTAAAAACAGAAAAACGAGGCCAATTTTGGTGATTTTTTTTTCAGACTTCTTGTGACATATGCAACTGTTTTCAGACTCTCCAAGGCTCAAGGTTACTTAATGGTTTTGTTACTAAATATAAAGGCAGCTATAGATTTTCAGGGTTAAAGACACATTTATTATGCATAAGAAAAGTTTGAAGCAGCAATATACAGTAAATAAATCAATAAACGCACTGCTCTCTTGTCTCCTTTGAGGATGGGACTCTAAATAGTGTTCTGTACTCGTCTGAACAGTTAGCATGTTTTGCTTGAATTTTCACCATGGCATTAGAGCTGGTACACCGCTGTCACTTGCGAAAACACAATAACAGCGTCATGGGTGGAAACTTACAGATTAAGGGGCGGTAATATTATAATGAGATCCCTTTGCAACGTCACTAGGGGAGCGAAATCAGACGCGCTCGTTTTCTCAGACGCTTGCAGAAAAAGGCTTACCAAAACAAAATTACTGGGTTAAACTTTTTCACGTTTCCTTGGTTGGTAGATGCACCGAGGACCTGATTATAGCACTTAAAACCTGGGAAAAGTCAGATTTTCATGATACGTCACCTTTGATATTTTTGTGGAATTTTTTTTATTTATTTTTTGATGAATAGGAAGTTCAAAAGGACAACATTTATTTAAAATAAAAAGTCTTTTGTAACATTATAAACGTCTTTACATATAATGACTAGTATATGCATTTTGTAAAACAAATGTTCCACGGACCCTCTAGCACCCTCTTGTGGCCCCGTCATACAGAACCATCTGTATAAAATCCCTAAGAGATGATAGCAACTTATAGTGTATATAATCATTAAATGTTTCCTTACAAATAAAAAACATCAGGAATGTCGTCGGTAAGCACAACTTAAAACTGTGTCCTGGGCCCTGTGATGAGGGGGACCCAAAACATGTCTACATACAGCTGAACTGCTGGGGCCCACCAATAGAATTTAATACCAGGCCCCTTAAATTCAAGCGAATATGTTCATTTAAAGTGTATTTGTGCATTTGCTTGGCCTGTATCTGTATTTGGCTGAAAACAAGAGATCTGAAAAATAATCTATTAATATCTGTGACAAAAAAGAGCAGTACAAGTCTTCTGCAGCATGATCCCTGGCTCAGGAGTCTCCCTGCTGCAGGCGAACTGTGATCGCTGTTTCTGGTCAAAGGGCTGGCCTACAGCGAGAGGCAAAGATAGAGCTGGTTAATGTTTAACCACGCCAGCTTGTAAAGCAGCCCCAGGACAGTGAACTTTTGGAGTTTGATATGATGTGTTTACAGAATCACCCAAGTGACACGTTGCCAAATTCAGCAGAATGAGGGTCTGAGTCTTCCGGGTGGTGATCTCTGAAATTGCTCAGGTAAGTTGCTTCTTAAATTCCAAATTATGTGACATAAGGAGCCTTGTCAGGTAGTGGCAAGATAAAGGCAGTGGCAGTGTTTAAAAAAACGCTGTGCTCATCCGTACAGCTCTGTTGCCTGCATTTAATGCTTTTAATTGTGCAATACAATTAATAATATTGCAATATGTTCAATATGATTGTGAAGACACTGTCTAGGTAAGATATAATACAGAAGGGGTCATCAGTGTGTAACACATAAATTTAACTTAAAACAGCACAAACTCTATTGTGATAGTGTTCATCAGTGTTTATAATGCAGAAAGGAGCCACTCATCACATTTTATATTTTAATATGCACATGTGAATTTCAGTATAGTTGTAAGAAGGTCAGCTGTAACATAAACCCAGAGCTAATCACTGCTGTTATTAAAATGCTTTAACATATGGTACTTCTCCAACATACGGTATTTGTTAAACACGGCATACTGAACCGCACAGATGTTTTTTAACAGTAGCAACGCTGTGTACATGTGTGATTGGGGTGGGGGGTACAGTGCATATGATATTGTTTTTGATTTATAATCTTAAATACAGAGGCGGGCAGCAAATGTAACATGCAATTGAATTGCAATTACAAATATTATATTCCCTGCACTTGTGCTGCCATTTCAGTCCAGCACAATGGCCTTCAGAACATGTGTATTTAGCTTCAGTCAACATGGGCTGAAAAGCAGCCAGAGATCCAGGCACGATAAGCGCACATCTAGTTATCTTGTTTATGCAAATGGTAACCAGGCTCTCCAGAAGAGAGCAGTGGATGGACTGCAGACTAATGCAAACCTTTCCGCACTGTCTTAAAACTCTCTCTTTAATGGATTCCTAATGTTCGGCCATCTCTCGTAAATCCCTGACGTTTGAGCTTCAAGAAAATCGTCATTTGTGACTCTTCCTAAAGCGTTTTGGTCTCATGCACTGTATGGATTGAATGAAAGGCCGCATTTGCCAACTGCAAAAGCGTGCAGTAATAGCATCTTGCTCGGTGAGTCATCTGTGACGAGTCCTTTCAGTCTAGATAAACTCTCTGTGCTTTGCACAAGCTATTGAATTTGCAGAGGCGAACACATTAGTGCTGTCATTGCTGTTGAGATGCATTGTAAAATTAATGAATAGAAATCTACAGAAAATTCAAAAGAGCACACAGACTCCCAGGGGCATCGTGCACCTTTTTTTAAGGGGGCACCAATGGCAGTCCTCGCTTACTCGATGCACTAGAGTATATTTTATCAACTAAGTGTTTTTTTTCTATGTAAAATGACCTTACTTACCTTATACTGTACATAAGATATCATTCAAGCTTACTGATATACTATTAGAATTTTCTTTGTATATTTTTATTTTTATTCTAGTTGAATTTTAGTTATTTTTTAATGTCTATATATTGTTATTTTAGTACTATATATACAGTATATATGCACAAAATAAAGGCCAGCTTGTGTTCGTCTTTTTTGAGCCGCTTAGAGAGACAATGATCAGTGTACCACGGTATCATCATTGCTGTCATGATTACATGCAGATACTGACGAGCTTTTGAAAATGACTAGCAGTCGTATCGCCTTTGACCCCTATTTTGTACTCACACTCCTTTGTTATCTTCAGCATCTCTCTTTGATCAAGTGAAGCTGAAAAAGACAAAGACAAATATAAACTACACTGATGATTTTAAAGTCCCGTTGCCATGTGATTCAATCATGCTTGATAGCACTTTCATCTCAAAAAAAGAACAATCACAAGGGAGATCTTGTTATTATTAGATTGAGGTAAATGGGGACTTCTGCTTGCCCAATTTTTCTCCTCAGAAACAGACATAGCAGTCTTGTGTCTCCAACGAGTCTCCAAAGGGATCTCAATGTCTTAAACTGTGCTCAGATTTGCTCAGTCTGCAAAGTCATAGATTTTAATGTGAATTTACTATAAACAAATGAAAAAAAATGATCAGAGCTGCTATTTAAATGCATTACTTAGTTCTATAGTCTAGTAATTGTATTTCTCCAAAGAAATCTCCTAAAAAGGGACAGTTATATACAGTGGGTATGGAAAGTATTCAGACCCCCTTAAATTTTTCACCCTTTGTTATATTGCAGCCATTTGCTAAAATCATTTAAGTTAATTTTTTTCCCTCATTAATGTACACAGCACCCCATATTGACAGAAAAACACAGAATTGTTGACATTTTTGCAGATTTATTAAAAAAGAAAAACTGAAATATCACATGGTCCTAAGTATTCAGACCCTTTGCTCAGTATTTAGTAGAAGCACCCTTTTGATCTAATACAGCCATGAGTCTTTTTGGGAAAGAAGCAACAAGTTTTTCACACCTGGATTTGGGGATCCTCTGCCATTCCTCCTTGCAGATCCTCTCCAGTTCTGTCAGGTTGGATGGTAAACGTTGGTGGACAGCCATTTTTAAAACACTTTTCACACATTTACATTCATAATATGACAATTCTGTGTAAAAAAAAGACATGAATTGTTTGGTAAAAATCAAAAAGTTGGTGTTACACATTAAAAAAGAAGGCAGATCGGTGCAATAGCCTTGTGGTCAGCGTGCTGACATACAACGCCATTGGCCTACGGGCGTCCCGAGTTTGAATCCTGACTCAAGGGATTGAGATCAGCCTCCTATCTCTCTTCCACTTTGCTTCCTCTCAGTTCTGACCTGTCCTCATAATAAAGGTGAAAACGCCTAAAATAAAAAAATAAAAAAAGAGGCCAGGTGGCTGAAATGAATTTAAAGGGGTTTTTGTGATGTTAGATGAAAAGGAACATTGTTTCGGAGTGAATTATTGTATTTAAAACAAATTAATACAAAACATTTTTGGAATAACATGCACTGATGAATGGTGCACAATTAGGCACAATTAAGTAAATTGAGTACATTTTTATTTCATGTTGACTTTAAATAGACTGGGTAAATTACTTAAGTAAAGTTATTTCATTATTGTTTTATTATGGCAGTTGAACCATATGATATTTGTATCTTCATTTGCATAACCTTAAACACAATGTATTTTGCTATATTGTTCTTGATAGTTTTCTTGTCCAATCTAGCATTTGAATTTGTTATCCATGCCTGCATATTACAGTCCAGTAACGATAATATATTATTCTGATGGGATCCAAAAATCAAGTCTAGCAAATATATAAAAGAAATGTTCTTGCATGAATCAGAGATGCAGCATCTGTAATGTGCTGGCTTGGAATATATCTACATGATGATCAGTTTCTCTAAATCTTGATTGAAACCCAGGTGATTTCTGGTGATTTGATTCGACTTAATGCCTTCTTGCATTCCTAGAAATTTACATGAATGTACCTGTAGGGGCAGCGGGCGTACGTGGTTTGGGCGGGCGAGGATACCTCGCCTATGCAGGCATGGGTCGTGGCTGTGCCACGTACCAACTCAAGACAGACAAACGCCCCGACGACAAACTCTATGACCTTCTTCCTGGCATGGAGCTCACGCCCATGAACCCAGTCACTCTGAAGCCCCAAGGCATCAAACACGCCCCAGAGGTACACTCATACCCTCAGTGAAAAGATCCCTTGTGGATTTTAAAAGGAGGAATTTTTCAAAGGAACATTTTTCCAAGGACGATTTTGCCTGTTTTCGCAGATCTTGGAGGATATTTGCCAAAAGAATAACTGGGGACAACCGGTTTACCAGCTTCACTCTGCTATTGGACCAGATCAGAGGCAACTGTTCCTTTACAAAGTCACCATCCCTGCTCTGGCTACTCAATATCCAAATATGTATGCTACAACTTCTACCGCAACGATACACACATCATCACAAAGCAAGAACACTCGCATTAACTGTGTCACAAAACCTAGTGAGCTGCCTAGATCAGTCATTCCCAACCACATTCCTGGATTAACCCTAAGCACTGCAAAGTTTGCATATTTCATTTGTTAGACACTCCCATTTCACGTCTCTACAAATGAGCTGATAATTAAGGAGACAATCAGAATCTGCTGTGATGGAAGTACTCCAGGAATTTGGTTGGGAATCACTTACCTAGATCAGTGTGTCCTCCTTTTCTTGGGCATGTCCAGGCTGGGATTTCTGAATTACCTTAAACTGTTTGAGTTTTGGCTTTGTTTTCATACTGATGTGCTTTCTACAATCCTTATACATTATGGCTATGTCTGAAAGCTGAAAAATGCTCCCTCCGAATGCAGCATATGAAAGTAGGAAGGCAATAATACATGTCTAAATTAAATGACAGTGTCACTTTCTGTCTACTGAGATACCTTCATCTGATCAATTTCTGAAGGCAGCATAGATATATTCTTCAGCACTTTTGGTATCCCACAAACCTGTGTGTTCCATTCTGCACCAGTTGAGCTAAAAAATAAAAATGTCTGTCAGCGTTAATACCCTTGTGGGCAGCATGCTGACATACAGCGTTGTTACACTGCGGGCATACTAAATTCGAATCCTGGCTCGTGGATCCCGCCCCCCTCTCTCTCCCACATTGCTTAATGTCACTACACTGTCCTATCTAAATAAAAATGGCTGAAAATTGCACTTAATGGTCAGTTAGTATGTAAATGTAAATTTTTTACCAAGTTTTTCCACTTTTTATGTAATTTCCAGCAAGAAATTAGTATTATTAGGGTGACCATACGTGCCATTTTCCCAGGACGCGTCTTGGCCAGGATTTCTATATTGCCTAAAATATCTAGGTTTTGGCTTTGTTTGCGTGTGCAGACCGATCGGTGTATGACATCGTCCTGGGAATCTAGGCACGTATGGTCACCATAAGTATTATAGTACTTAAATATATTTGCTTTATCAGCAAAGCTCTCTCTGTTTTGCTGTAGATCTTTAAACCTTCATGCTCAAACGTTGCCTGCAGAGTCACTGCCTGATAGGGTAGCGAGGCATCAAGTCAACTGCCTAAGCTTTCGGACGCAGCTTATATGTTTTATATGTATTTGCATTGCTTTGACCATTCTCTTCTCTTGACCATTCTCTTCTAACTTCTTGCATGCCATGATTGGTCTGCATTTACTTTTAAAGGCATCCATCTACATTTAAAGCTTTCAGAATCTATTACTAACACATTATATTTTAATACAATACACTAGAATATTTTACTAAAGTTCAGGGGTGTCAAACTCAAGAGTATAGCTTCAACCTTAAAGGGATAGTTCACCCAAAAAATGAAAATTCTGTAATTAATTACTCACCCTCATGTTGTTCCAAACCCGTAAGACATCATCTTCGGAACACAAATTAACAATGTAATCAGCATTGTTTACTTTCGCGCACATGCTGAATGTTAACAATGCTGATTACATTCTGGGGTACTCTCCAAAATGGCAGAAGACAGTAACTCGGGAAGAAGACTTGCTGAATAAATATGTTATTATTGTTTTCTTTATGCACAAAAAGTATTCTCGTAGCTTCATAAAATTACCGTTGAACCCCTGATGTCACATGGACTGTTTTACAGATGTCCTTGCTATGTTTCTGTGCATTGATATTAGTAATATCCTTGCTGTCTATGGAGGGTCAGCGAGCTCTCAGATTACATCAAAAATATCTTAATTTGTGTTCCGAAGATGATGTCTTACGGGTTTGGAATGGCATGATTAATGTCAGATTTTTCATTTTTGGGTGAACTAACCCTTTAAATAAACACACCTGATCCAGCTAATCAAATCCTTCAGATTTATATTTGAAAACTAGAGGTATGTGTGTTGGAGCAGGGTTGGAACAAAATCTGTATGACTGTGGCCCTCGAGGAGCTGAGTTTGATGTCCCTGCTATAGTTAATAATATATAAGCTATATAAGTAGTTGTGAATGCCAGTTAGGCTGTTAGAAATATGAGGCCATTAGAACGTAGAAATATGTAGACAGTAGGCATGCATACAGTCTGTGCATTACACAAGAATAACCAATAACAGTCAGAGACCAAATCTGTTACTTTAAGAGGTTACTTTCTTAGGCCCAATCCCAATTCTATATTATACCCCTTCTCCTTTCCCTACCCCTCCGCCGACCCCTTTCCCTTGTCAGGGAAACAGAGTGTCAAGGGGTAGGGGTGAAAATATTCCCCTAAGAATTGGGACACCATTACTATACATCACACGTCATCATACGTCGTCTAGCTCCTACAGTACACACACCTATAATGGTGTGCATTAGAGCCTTTAATTACCGTTCTATATTAATGCGCTGCTTACTGACACACACACACACACACACACATCAGATATCGTGCAGCTCACACATCCCGGAGCAAAGAAACTTGTCAACGCTGCCCCACGACTTTTATTAATAACAGTTTAAATACTGAATCACTCGTTATATTTTCCAGCAACTAGAGGATAAAATCGCTGTTTTTGAAGTAAAAAGAGAAACGCACAAGCGCGCACACGCAACTTTCATCTCTCTCTCTCGAATTGTCAATATTTCAGAAAAGGGTTTAGCCATTTATAATTATTGGGGGTACTAGCCCTCCTCAATGTCTATGGTGGTTATTATCGCCCAGATCAGACATAAAAATAGCCTATGTTGTGGCACTATCGTGCAGTCAGTAATGATATGACGTTAGCAAACTTTAGCGATTATTTGCAAACATTTCTTTGAGTAACATGACCGTATATATGAACTCATGATTGAATGTAACATAAAACACATGATTACTTTTCGTTAAAATCTTTATTAATGCCAAAAATCCTTACATCTATGTGTCTTTTTGTTCACTGGAGCAGCCATGTTGCCGCTGTAGCCGGTTTACGCTGAGATAATTCATACCCATTAGTTTGAAGTGTGGTCCTGAAAAATCTTCGTTTGAAGGGCTATCTGGCCCTTCCCCTTACCCCTACCCCTCCAACCAAAAGAGAATCGAGACACCCCTACCCCTTCACGTGAACGCGCGAAACGGAGGGGTAGGGGAAAGGGGAAGGGCTAAGGGGTAGAATTGGGATTGGGCCTTAGTTAGCACGGTGTCTGTGTAGACACGTGCCAATGTAGCCATCAGACATCAAATCAGCTCACAATGTTTTGGGACACAGCAATAAATTAACACTTTTCAGTCAGAGTCGACATGTAGCAATGCATGATAGACACAGCATTTTCCAGCTTCTGTGAATGTAAACCTAACACACCTGCTCATCTCTATTTTTTTAAAAATTTATCTATTTTTAGAAATCTATACATTTTTCAACACAATATTTTACCACTGATGTTCTCTGTGTCCAATCAGACATCCGTTTACCCCCGCCAAGCTCTGCGCATCAATGGACGAGGCGAAGCTGCATGCGGCCGAACACACGCTGCAGATCCTTGGTGTCCAGACAGAGGGCGCTGACGCTTCCGCTGCTGCGGCCGTCGCTGCTGCATTCCCAGGTATGTGAGGTCTGTAAGACTACTACTTATTTCACTGTGATTCTAATTCTGTTATTATGGAGTAAACACATACTAGGACAAATATTTTAGTCTGTTAACTTCCCTGTAATATGACTGTGGCATAAAGATTTGTTTTAAACCTGAACTATTCATAAAAATTATAATAAGTATAATTGTAAATTAAAATAAAACTGATACATAATATAAATTTAGTTAAATAATGCACATTTATATTTAATATTTAAATGTAAATATTAATGCCATATCTCAGGGCTTCTGCAGGTTTTATGAAGGCAAATGTAAGAATTTTTAAGAACTTTTAAAACCACATAAAGAAAATGTAAGGAATAAATTAAATGAAAAGCTTACTGTAAATGTCTTGTATTAGCATAGCAACACTTCAAAGTTTGAAAATACAACTTCCAATAGATCTCCATTACTTTTTCATACATTGAATGACCACACTGCAAAAAAGTATTTAGTTTCCAGTGCAAATGTCTAAAGATTCTTAAATCAAGATTTACTAACAAAACTGATCAAAATTTTGTGAGTTTATGATTAAAACTAGAACAAATCTGCTAATAGCCTCAGAAAAATCAACTTAAAGGGGTCATATGATGTTGTTAAAAAGAACATTATTTTGTGTATTTGGTGTAATGAAATGTGTTTATGCGGTTTAAGGTTAAAAAAACACATTATTTTCCACATACTGTACATTATTGTTTCTCCTCTATGCCCTGCCTTTCTGAAATGCGTCGATTTTTACAAAGCTCATCGGTCTGAAAAGCAAGGTGTGCTGTGATTGGCCAGCTATCCAGTGCGTTATGATTGGCCAAATACCTCAAGCGTGTGACGGAAATGTTACGCCCCTCACCATATTTTGATGATGCCCTGTCCGGCCGGAGCGATGATTCAAAAACATGAAAACCCATTATAAACGAGGCATTTGTTGCATCCAGTGGGGACATAATTATGGATTATAATGACTTATACTGTCTTTTTACGCGTTGCGTTGCATCGCGCCGCGCAAACATGCCCAAAACTCGCATTTGAATCATCAGTGGCAAATCCTTTAAATATGAAAACTTACTTATAGACTGTGAGTCAGAACAGCCGGCATTGCAGTCTACTCTCCCAGTATCAAGAAACAGTCCTCCATAAAATGCGCTGGACACATTTGAATATTTGGGTTGAACTGTTCTGGAACAGTGTTGTAAATACAACTTAACCACTGATTTCTAGTCGTGTCCTCTTTTGGAAG